CCTGCGGGCAAGACAATGTGCCATGGTTATGGAACGAATAGAAACAAGGAGTCTTCTTTAAAGTAGACTAATCACTTGCTAAAGTCTGGAGCAAGAGGAACAAACAAAATGTTGTGGTGAGTGAAAACCATGTAGTTAAACAGTTGCTGAGATGGACAAGTTGCTGAGAAGAAAGGAGCACACTAAGAAAGAAAAGTTGAGGCCGTGATGTCTGAGCGATGTGAAGGGGGGAAATGCTCTTTGACAAGTGAGAAAGAGATATTCCTTCATGTTGGTGTTGGAGTCGCTGGGATTTTATGTCAGATAATTAGATTTATTTTATGATGTCTTGCATGCATGTCACAATCTTGTATTTCAGTGTGAATCAATCTTGTCAATCTTGTAGTCTGTGTGACTGTAGTACTTCTAAATATGAAAAAGATGCTTCCTACCTCACTGATACGAAACAGTGGAATGTGTATTGCAAAAAAACAGTTAAATGTGTGTATGAAGCACATGTGGCAGGGGTTGGATTTAGTATGCCCTGTGTGTATTTTAAAATTCTCTATCTAACTATAAAATTGAAACAAGTTTTGAAAGTAGTAAGATGAATATTGAGGTTTTGTGATAGTGCTCTTATTGACAGTCAAATGACTGTGATATTTCTGTCTGGATGACTGGGTAAAAGGATGTAATTCCTTTGAACTAGACTGACAAAAAATACGAATGTACTGTGACCATTGGTTATGCTATGAAAACAAAGGAATTCTTAAACAATAGCTGTTTAATGAAGCTAAGGGAGGCTTTTGTGCTAATTGTAAGTTAGACTTTAGATAATATGAAGCTGTATTGATGCAGACGGATATTTATTCTTTTGAAAGGTGTTTCATGACTTCACCAGGAGTATTCTAGTTGTTTCTGTGTGTGTGTGTGTGTGTGTGTGTGTGTGTGTGTGTGTGTTGTAAAATAATAGCTTTGGTGCAGTGTGAATAAAGATAGTATGCCTCTTAATAGAAAATATTTGCTTTGGATTTAAGTCAGAACATTATGATTGCTGTGATATTATGGAGATCTCATTATCTTAAGTAAAGAAACATGAAAGTCATGGTGTTTTTGTGGCATTAAAATTTATAGTTGCATTTTGCCTACTTCATAAAAATACAAAATGTGAAAATATTTTCTTTCTTTTGTGACGCTCGGTCGAGCAGATGAAGTGCATCAAAGGTATTTGGTGGGATGAGATTTGTTCAGTGTTGAAACTGACTAAAGTGCTTTTTGTGTTTTTTGTTGTTGTTGTTTGTTTGTTTGTTTGTTTGTTTTCCACATCCCCCTTCTGTGATTTACTCTGACACCAGCACAGTTAGTGCTATACTGTGAAAGAACTGAGATAACATTGGTCGAATGTAAGGATACCATTAGACTGTCTGATCCCATTGTTTTTTGCTTATGGCTATCTGGCCTTTCTAGGTCTGTTCTCCCATGCCTGTTTGTTGCCTAGCATTGATCTGCTCATCTGCTGCCACAGTACTTTTGGCATGGGGCTGTCACTGACAGGGAGGGGAATGGAGTAGGACTCACCTTCTCAGACAGCTGGGACTCTGCGCAGCCACTGAGCCACAGTCATCCTCATCTGCCTCAGTATTTGTGGAGTTATTCCATGCAAGCCTATCATGTCATAGAATGGCTTAGTTTGGAAGGGACATTAAAGGATATCTAATTCTAATCCCCCTGCCATGGGCAGGGTTGCCACCAACTAGATGGCAACCTGGATCCTGTCCATTCTGGCCTTGAATACCTTCAGTGATGGGAAACCCACAGCTCCTCTGGGCAGCCTGTGCCAGTGCCTCACCACTGAGTAAATAATTTGTTCCTAACGTCTAACCAAATTCTCCTGTTTTTTAGTTTAAAGCCATTTACCTCGTCACATCACTATCAGACCACGTAAAAGTCAGTCTCCCTCCTGTTTGTAAAGTCTCCCTGGAGCCTTTTCTGTTCCAAGCTAAATAATCCCAAGTCCCTCGACTTTTCCTCACAGGAGAGGTGCTGAGCCTGCTGATTATCTTCATAGCCCAGGATACTGTTAGCCTTCTGGAGTGCAAGCATGCACTGGTGTCTCATGTTCAGCTTTTCATCCACCATGCCAACTCCTTTGCAGGGCTTCTCTCAGTGAATTTTCCCTACTGTAAACATATTGCCCCAACCCAAATGCAACACCTTGCTCTTGGTTGTGCTGAACCTCATTATGTTAATACAGAACTACTTTTCATGCCTGTCCCTCTGGATGGCATCTCTTCCTTCTGTCGTATCAACTGCACCACTCAGCTTGGTGCCATCTGCAAACTATCTTCCTTGGGGAAAAAATGAAGAATAAGGGGATTTCTTAGTGGAAACTCTACAGCTCGTCAAATTTTTCAGATCTTTTTAATCATGAGTATTAAAGCTAGGTAAAAAGTACTTTGGGACATGTTGTTCCATTTATTTTTTTTTTAAGACTGTTCTCCATAGAAGTCCCTGGAGAGTTCATTTTAAAACAGACAGCACAATGTGGGCCACTGTAATACAATTTTCATTGTAAAATGTTATGTCCTAGGGCAGATTTACCACAAATGGAGCAATCGTGTTGTCCTATAAAAGACAAGATGTGTTTTTTGCAACTTTTGATACATGTAAAAAATATGCATAACTCTCTCCAGTCTGCCAAATAAGCAAAGCTTGCTATTTTCAGTAAGGTATTTTTTGGCTTTTGGAATACTTAGAGACTGTTACTAGCATTAACTGCTTTGACTATTCAAGGTAATGTTGTATATGCACAATTATAAACATTGATAACTGGAATATCATCTGGAATTACAATTAGAAAGAAGATTTTGGATATCCACTTAAACTTTCCTTGCAGGAGTATAATAAATATTTTGTGTTAGTTATCAAAGTATCAGGAAGTAGCATCAATATGTATAGATTTTGACATAAAATAATTGAATATTATATAGATTTCACAGCGGAGATACTTAAACTGATCAGCTGTGAACCAGAGAGATGGCTTATGTATGTTGTCTATTTGCTGTACAAAATTTCACTTAGTAATTCATTAATTGATAGTGTTGCAAGAGATCTGCTGACAGTATTGGTGAATCTTGCTGTTTAAAGAGCTAGATAAATTTCATGACTGAATAGTGGAGAAATATGTAAAATTAAATGAAGTTATTTTTGTCAGAATACTCTGAAAAAAAAAAAAATGCTTACCTATATATTTAAAGGTATCTATACAGAAATATATCTACTCAGAATTCTGAACATTGTCATAAGAAGGTTTCTAGAATATTAGGAAAATGTAGTGGAACTGTTCAGTGTTGTTATCCTGAAGAAAAATAAAAATAGGAAGCAAAATTATATAGTTTATTGTTAAGAAAAGGATACTTCTGCAGTGGATTTCAAAGGTATCCTCATTCTGTTTTTCTTTCTTTTAGGATGCCAAAATAAATAACTTTCTTATTTTAGCTGTGCCAATTTAAGAAATGTAAACTGAATCTAGTTATGGAATTGATGCCTGGGAACCTTGCGTACTCATAAAAATTAGAGTTCTGTAACAATCCCTTGAATAGTAATTTGTTTTGCATATTTGAGAAGGCTACGGCTTGAGAGAGGCTAAATGCAGGAAATACTCGCTTCTGGAAGTAGGCAATTCAGCATCTTGCAGTTTTGTATTCCAAGTAGCAGTAGTTTTCATGTTTTTTTTTTTTTTTTTTTTTTTTTTACTCTGGTTAAGATATATACCTGAGAGAAAAGACAACACAACAATTAAGACTTGACTAGATGGTATGTGCTGGATTTAAACTATACAACGCATTGCTCAGATTCTCCATCTTCCTTCTATTTAGGATGTTTTTACTGGGACAAATAGGTTGGTGTGTTAGGAGCTTTTCTGGCCTTTTGGTTGTAGGCTCAGGCCTTGGGCACATCTTCTCAGCATTATTTTGGAAAGGGCTTGGGCTCAGTTCATCTCTGTGGAGGATGAACGGAGCTGCTGAAAAGCAGTGGGAGCTGTGACAATTTCCAACCAGGTCTCCAGCAGGATGACTGGAATACCAGGGCCCTGGGGCAATCCACAGCACACAAACTCAACTGATTGATTAGCAGCCACAGGTTTCCAGAATGGTGTGGTTATTGGACACATGTAGTTAAATCTGTAAGTGGTAGCATTTCTTCAGCAATACTGTGAACTACTTGTTTTAATTAGTGGTGTATTATGTAAAGTTAGTTGTTCGTGGCAGAATGTTAATTAAAATTCTGTGATTTGGATAATTAGAAATGCAATTGTATTCCATGTAGAGCTTTATTCTAATATATTGAATACTTTTGTAGACATTTGGACTTAAATTTACAGGCTCAAACTTAGAAGGGCAGGGAAAAATAAAACTGTTGTGGAGTAAGACTGTTTTATTGACATACATAAATTAGCACTATTCATGTATTTAAATATATTCAATTACAGATCTCAGTTCAGTTCCTGACTTCTCCCCACAACTCCTGGGTGATAGTGAGCAAATTATCTGAGAACAAATGTTTCAGTGTGTCTGTTGAATTTAAAATGCAGTGATTAATGCCAGCATAGATCTACCCACTTCTTAAAATTCAATGCTGGGTCTGTATTCTGTTTTTAGGAAATTATTCATTTATTTTCTGTAAAATGAGATATGCCTTATTTTCTACACTATTTAATTATGAGTAAGCAGGATTGCCCCTTGTGTATGTAGTACTGCCAGTGCTATAGTCAATCTTATCTCAGTTTGTGCTTTTATAATACAAGCTCATAATGAAAACATAATTAGTAGTTACTAAATGTTTCTCATCTCTTTCATTCTTCAAACCTGCTTGTAAAAGAATAAGCAGAAAATCAAAGTGTACTTAGGGAGCACGGAACATCAGAGGTCAGGTACTCCTCTGTGGGTTAGAAAAGCAGCATAGTGCCTGGGCTTTGTAGCTCTTGTTGCTCAATTGAGCTCAGATCAGTGTTCTGTCTTCACTGACTAAGTAGGTAAGTCATAATACTGAGCAATAGTATCTGATATTTTGAACCATAGATTTACGTGGGTTTACATGACCTGTTATGGATAACCATTCTTTGTGGTTCTTTTTTCTTGCAGCTGATAGCAAACCTATTTCTTAGGCAAAAAAGCACCCAGTGTGCCTCAAACGATTGACTTAGTATATTGCAAGTATCACTAAGAGGAGTGAATTCGGCATAAAAGCTTGTCGAGTACAGCAAAAACTTCTGAATATTCACTTCTGTGAATATTCACTTCTGTGAATATTCACTGAAACTTACATACAAGGGCATTGTAGGCATGTTTTATATTTTTGAGTATGGAGGCTTATAAAGCTTTAGCTGATCTTCAATGAACATTCTTAGGAGATATCACTAAATGTCTCAGTGTTATCAGGAAGTGTAACTTTGTCTTCTAAAATACGATCTTTGTAAAAAGAGTTCATCAGGTTTAAGTAACCAATTGCAGATTTTCACTTTTAAAATTTCGTAAGTTATACCAAAATAGAATGACTAAGTCAACTCAGTGACTTACAGTTCACATAGATCTGGTATTCTTGTGATATGAAAAGAGTGTAAGTGGAGCAATATTTTTTAGGTTTGTACTGCATGTAGAAGAATTAAGTTATGCAAATTTCAGTACTGAACAAATAAAAGGAGTGCCTCATAAGTTAAAAATCATTTAGCAAAGTTAAACAGTGCTATTTCTATTAACAAAGCAGTTCTTAACACACATTCTGAAACTGATGAAAGGTGAGTTTTACATGCATGGCTAATTGGGTAAGCCTAAATCCTATGCCTGTTGGTAAGTGTAGGTCCCCTAAAACTTTTGTAAATCTCTTTATTTAAAGACTTTATGGATCATTTCTTAACATTATGGAAAATAATCAATAATCCCTAAAATATCTGCCTATTTATTAAAAACAAAGTTTTAATATGCACACTTCTCATACAGTCTTCTCACAAAGCAGCTGGTCAACCAGGTCTTTAGTGCTTTAGTAGGAATTTGTATAGGATTTCCTCTCTCTATGGAGGAAGAAGTAAAGAAGTATTACAGTGGTTACAGACTGACCTATACAGTTTTACTGTGTAGGATAAAAATGTTGAAAAACAATGAAAAAATAAAATGTGACTTAACAGTTCTGTGCCAATTCAGAAGTAATAAAATATTTTTCCATTATCTTCTTTTAGTAATATGAAGCTCAACATAGACCTGACAGATAATATTGCAGTTTGCTGGACAATGTGGAAATTATGTAGGGAGAATATTTTAATGTTTAAAACAATGCTTGTAACTGTCCTAGGCATATTTGTAGACATACAAAACTGTCTCAAATAGATTAAAAAAACAAACAAACAAACAAACAAACCAAAAACATTTATACTGATAACTAAAAAAGTTAATTTGTAGGATTTTTAAGTTTGCATAAAAGAAACAATGTAAAAGGACTAGAGCTTCTGTAAAGAAAAGTTTTTAAAGTGGTCTTTTAACTGAGATAGGTATTACAGTTCCTCCTATGGAGGGAGCTTATTATTTAATTGCTGTGTAAAAATTACTCATGAACGAATGCTTTCTACTTAACTGAAATCCAACAGTGTGATTCTGTGAATAAGAACGTTCAATCATATTCATACTTTTATAAGAACAGTAGTATAATTCCTGTCTCAAATGTATGATATCACCTTGCAGAGGAATTCTCCCCTAATAGTTTGAAGTCTTTTTGCCGGTTCTTAAAGTTCAGTGCTTGTTAAGACGTTTCTTGAAAGCGATCGTTGCCTGAATTTATTTAGCTTCCATGAACTGAAGTGTGAGGTTGCCAGCTTCTGAGTCAGCAAGATTTCAGTGATTTGGTGTTGTGGCATTTGTTTACTTTTATTGTCTGTTTTGCTGACTTGTAATGCATCAGGTGTGCGGTGTGTGCAACCCAGTACTTCATTTATGAAACTTAAGGCAAAACAGATTGCAGAGTGAAAGCAGGCAAACCATTGTATGTTGTGCTAGTGAAAAAGATGCTGGTTTACAATCACTTGTAATTACTGCTGCTGCTATGAAAGGTAAGAATACGCTTTAATGGAGGCAGTAAATAAGTGATTACTATTACAAAAGAAGAGGTAATGTGTGTCTGTCTGGTATCTTCTGTTCTGTGTGGGAGTAGAGTCCAGAAGAGTAATTGTTCAGTTATGTGCTTATTCCATTTACAGAAGAACAAATGAAGTGTTACAAAGTTGCTATCCATTTTATTACATTTTTTTTTTTGTTTTGAAGCCGAAGAGGAATTCTTTAATAATTTATGCAGAGAAACAGCAAAACATTTTTAATTTCTTCTGCTGTGTTGTGTTCATTCTGTTTTCCTTATAATTTCTTTGATTTTTGGCTATTTAATTATTTAGTCATTATGTTCGAATATGCGAACCTTTCTGATAAACAGCTTTAAAACGTTGTCTGAATGGGCTAAGTTTCCCCTTTACTCCTCCCCAATTTGCTTTTTATTCTTTAAAATATGAGACATATAAAATTTTTGTCTTGCTTTTTAAAGCTGTGGGAAAGAGGGATTTCACAGAAAATGATGGTTTTCAGGTGACTTTGTTTATGATTCAGAGAGATATGTGGATCAGTTACTGCTTATGAAAAATAACAGTAGCAGAAGGATAGCCTGAATTAGAAGATGTCTGGTGCTTTAAAAGGTATTCTGGAATGTTCAATGTGAGGATGAATTGGAATTATTTAATACCGCTTTGCTCCTGACTACAGTTAGTGGATAACATTAAAACTGTTTTGACTTAAATCCTATGCATCCCTTGGGTGAGCTCAGCAGAACTGCGGAGAATAAAGGAAACACAAGAATCAGCAGCAAGCAAGGTCTGAGGAAATGACACCAGATTTCCAGCTGTAGCAGGGTAGAGCGAGTTCAGCTTTGCCTCCAACAATTACGTATGTATCTCTGTGTGTGCATGGCAAATAATCCACTGCAGTATCAAAAGAATTTTGTGCCAGTTTACATAAGTGTAAACAAGCTGTTATAGAGTTTAGTAGTCATATTGGGGAAATAGAGCTGGAAGATGGCAAAACAAGATATTTAGAAGATCATTATGGCAGGTTATGCTGTAGCCCTCAAGATGCAACAGGATTCTGACTACCCTCTTCCCTCAAACTAGAATTTGAGTGTAATGAAGTAATTAATCAATCAATCCAGGTAATTGATCTTAACCTGTACTTAGCTTGGAACTTCCCGTATGTCTTTGCAGTCTTGAAGATGTAGTTATCTGAAATCTTCATGCATTATATTTTACTTCTATGTATCAATCCTCTGTTTATATTATCTTTAAATAATCATACTTACAATAGCAATAATGTTAGTGCCAAAGATTTGTGAAGGCATAAGCTGTGTCTGAGAATAAATTGCAACTCTTAAAGAGAAAATTAGCTAGACGAACATACTGAGAAAACAACAAAAAACAGATGTGGAGTCTTTTTCAAGAGGAGGAATGTTTAAAAATTTCCATAATGTGTGCTGCAAAATATCCTCAAGGAAAAGAGAGATTATCAAACTTTTTTTTTTTCCTCTTTAAGGTGAGGAAAACACAGGAAAACAGAAATAAAATTTCACACTGAAATCTGAAAATCATTGGAAAAGAATACATATTTAGGTTGCATAAAAGCGCAGCTATAATCAGTTAAAAGCACAAGTGCTAATTCTCACAGATATTTGAAAGATTTCATGTAACGTTCTTCATCCATGCCTCTGGTGGCAGTGTGGACGTAAAATCAACACAGGTGGTAGGAATACTCAAGTGGCCATGATAACAGAGCCTTTCCAAACCTGGGCATTGATGGAGTTGAATTTGAACAAATCAGAAGCTGAGGAAGAACAAGGAATAGTAGCTGGAGATACTGCTGCCGTCACAGAATTTCCTTTGTCTGCAGATGTACATTCCTGTAAGCAAGATCCCTCCCACTTTTGAAATCCCATTTTATTTTCCACTGTCACTGAACTTTTTCATAGCAATACTAATTAAATAAATATGAAACCCTTTGTAGTTGTCTAGAGGACTGCACACTGTCCCGGTAAACAATGACACAGTGTTGGCTATTCATGCCCCCATTCTGCAGTAATTTCTGCATGTAATCTCCCTAAGGAAAAGAAAGCTAGTAAAAAAAAAAAAGAAATAAAAATAGTGTCTGCAACAAAATCCATTGACGTGCCTGCTAACCTGTTCTTTGTTCTCTGCACGGATTTCTTGTTGAAGATTAATTCAAGCTCATATTCACACGTATATTTTAGAAGCTACTCAAGTGCCCCATTCTCAGCTTGTTTTAAAACTACATAAAATTTTGGAAGGAGGACAGCAGTTAACAGATCTTTTCCTCGAGCAGAATGGCACAGTTGCATCACAAGACTAAAGTACATCTCTTCAAAGGCTTATTTCTGAGCACAAAGTAGGAATTTCTGCCCCAGGAAATCAAGGATCATCAGAAATCTCCCCCAGTTGGAAATAACACTTTTCAGCTTTGCGTTCCTCTAGTGTAATGACCCCTGGCGCGCCTAAATTGGAGAGATTAATTAAACCAAACAATTACACAGAAAGCCCTGTTGCTGATGGTAACAGAAATTAATTATTGTGTTGAATTTATAGTTCATCCCATGAGAAGCAATGGAAAGAAAGGGCAACAACACATGAGAGATATTAGTTAAATTGCTGAACACTGCTAAAGTGGGGTTACATATTTGTGGTGCTAGTTGTGGGAGATGAATGCAGGATTCCTTCCAAAATGTGAACTTCTAAAATTGAGTTTCATAGGAAAGGTGGTAAATGCCCAGTTTGGAAGGGAGAGGTTTCCCCTAAAGCATTTATTCTGTGATATTCAAAACTTTGGAGGAGTTTTTTGCAGATAAAAGAAACAGTGTGCAGTGTTGAAGGAGTTGGAATAATTCTCTTGACAGTGGTTTACCCAGTGGACAACTAAATGTACTTTATGAGTGAGAACTTCCTGCATATTGCATAATTGTACCTATTGAATCATGGGCTTTCTGTCACAGATTACATCGCTTGATTTATTAAAGAAAATTAGTCACGAGTCTTAGTTATTTATTTTTATTTTATAAAGAATTTCACTTTGAAATTAACAGTTTTGGAATTCACTGATTTTAAAGTATTAACAGCCTTCTAGAGATATTTCTGTCTGAACAGTTTTTCCCTGCTTTTTGTGGGGTCAGTTTTATGTCTGTTTTCTACTCTCACCTATTTTCAATATTTTTATGATCTTAGAATAGAATCATTAAAGTTGGAAAATACCTTTTAAGATCACCTAATCCAAACATCTTGCCCACTAAACCATGTCCTTAAGTACCACATCTACATGTTTTGTGAGCACCTCCAGGAACTATGACTCCATCACTTTCCTGGGCAGGAGGCACAGCAGGCAGTAATTTTGGAGCAGCCTTCTTACTTTTTCAGAGACATGGATAACTTCTTCAAAGTGGAAAAATAATTATCAATTACTTATAGAAGCAAAATGTGATACGGTATGATTATTTAGTCCCAGTGAATATGGCACCAAACGTTAATGCCGTTATGGAGAAATCTGCTAGTCACAGATGTAAAGTGGTGAGAAGGATGACTAATTCCTCACGTTTCATGCATTTGCTTTTAAAGATTTGTTTTCTGGGAATTGTAATTGAGAACTTTTTAACTTTGGGAATAGCTGCATTACTATCAGAGAGGATTTTGAGTTTATATGATATTTGCACTTTAAGTACAAAATAAATTCCAATCTGAAAAGCTGTCAGTGGATTTTTTCTTTTTTTTTTTTTTACTTATTTTTTGCTTATTGAGTTACATTATTTAATGGAGGCATGGCCTTTAAAAATCTACAGCACTGCAAACATAAACATTCTGACATTTTCTTATTCCAGTTTTGTGCTTGTATTTCATTTATTTCCATGTTTCTTTTAGTGAAGGAAGTGTTATATTTAGTGTAGCAATTTGGAAATAAAAGTCTAGAAAGATCTGGAAATATTTGAGATCTATCTGAAAGTAAAATAGTTTTTAAAGTTGTCCCAGTGTGAAATTGAGGTGCTTGAAGACCAAAGTAAAAAAGATAATTAAAAAAAAAAAAAAAAACTCTAAGATGTAAATGAATATATTTAAAGTTGTGCCATTGTCTTGACTTCTGATCACCTTTGACAGTTTTTGTTGCTAATATTTCTCATTTTCTTAGAAGCCTGTGTTAGTGAAATGTTTTCTCTAATATTCAGTTTTTTGGCTTATCAATCACAGTGTTTTTAGTTTATTTTTTTTTATGCTGCATGTATTTCCTGTGTTTACTGACATACTCCACATAAATAATTTGAGGAAGAAAATTCAAATAATCACTTCTCTCTGGAATACAGCCCTCATACTTGTATTAAAATTTAAATTAATGTTTTTACATATCCCAAACTAGTACACCTGAAGATAAAGTAGTTGGGAAAACATGCATATATTTTGGACTGTGTTCAAGCTGCTCCTTTAGAGGGACACCTATTCAACAAACTTTCACTGTATCAGTGTTTAATGTTAATATACTTGAGTTATGATAATACACATTAGTAAATGTTATTTGGCAAGTTAAGAATGTCTACTAGTAAAATGAATTTAATACTTCTGAATGCTGAATACCAGGGAAAGACAAGACAATGTTATGTGAAATGTACACATTATGTTTTTGTAGGAAGATGTATTTTGCTGTCAAGGCTCTTTTTCATTCATGCAATTAATCCAGCAGCAGTTAGAAGCAGTCATAATATTTCTGTGATTGAAAGTGATGATGAAACCAGAATGCTGATTAGTAATTGCTTCTGATTGGGCATTTTGTTCCTCCTTAAGCTGTTCAGGACTAAGCTTCAACTGCATCTATTTGGAATGTTCCTGAATTCTACGGACAAGATTTTCTATGAAGTGTAAAATGAATTGCAAGAATACTTTCACAAATTGTCTGGTATATCCATAAATAGTGCCTGCATTTTTTATGGCATTAATTTGTTTTTGGCTTTGTGCTGGTTTGTTGCTGCGTTTTAATGTTCAATTATATTGGCAATTGCAGCCTTAGAGAAGAGACCCAGATAACTATGGTGAAGGTATTTACCCAATTGAAGGAAATTTTGGGTATGTTCTGTATAGAAAAGTTTTTGAAAAGCGTAATTGCTTCAGTCTCTATAACAGCTAAAGTACAAAATATTCTGTGTTGTTTATTCATGGTATTCAGTCAAAAATCAGCAATCAGTCATGTGGAGAGCTATAGTTTCCCCTAAAGCCTAGAAGGAAACTTTCTCCTTGGGGTTCATGTTCTTTCTCACTCCTCCACCTTCCTAATAAAAGCATAAACAGATTGAAACAGGATTTTCATAGTAGGCTAAATGAATTAGTCTTTTTATAGCTTTGTTTCCCATAGACGGAGGGATAGTTTGAGTCAGAAATTTAAAGGAAAATGGGGGGAAAAGGCTTTTGAAGGTCCTGTTCACCTATAGAATAGAAGATGGTTATTTAGGATTGTTCACTTTGCCTTTGCATCCCTTCTTGGCATCAATCTTACCCCCCTTTTATGAAGTAACTGCAAATTACTGATAAAATTGTATGTGAGATGTAGACTGTAGAAAAACTGGTAGGAGGTAAAAAAAAGAAAAAAAAAGGCTAGGTAATTCCAAAGGCTGGTTTCTTGGCTGTCTCAATTTTCCTTGTTATGTTTAACATAGAAAACCTTCGTAGGGTATGTGTTAAGAAGTTTTGTGCTTTCTGTCAGGGCAGTAAGAATGAACCCAGAAGAGCTTTCAGGAAGGATTTGAATATAGAATTATATAGGTTGTAAAAGACCATTGACTTTATGAGTCTCAGTGTTAAAACATCTCACTTCATGCCACATCCACGTTTCTTAAATTCCTCCAACGATGGGAAGTACACCAGTTCCCTGGTCAGCCCTTTCCAATACTTGGCCATCCTCTCAATGAAGAAATTCTTCCTAAACCTCCCCAGGGGACTTTGCTGTCATAGAGGAGATATAACCCCTGGCAAGGTCACCTGATGCACTCTTCTTAGTCAGGCTCTCCACCCTGCTGCTCAACCAGACTGAGCATCTCTCCATAACACTCAGGTGCCAGAAGTTATATCTCCTCTCTGACCACAAAGCCCTCTGGAGTATGTAGTTCTTCTCTTCCGGATGGGTGCCTGGAACCTGAGCTTTAACTTCCAGTGCACTACATGATGTTATGATGCGGAATAAACAAAAATCATGAAACTATGACAATTGACCATTATTATTTTCCTGTTCTCTTAAATAAAAGGACTGAGGCTCTCTAGACAGAATGTTAAGCTTTTCTGATTGTACATCACTTTCATCTTTTGTAGTTATTACCCTTTTTGAATATAATCCACTGATATTTGAGAGCTGATGAGCTTTTGTCTTGGCCAATTTTCTCCTTATTCATATTGGTTTTTTTTGCTTTCATCCCAATCTCAATGATCCTATGAGTTTTTTAGTTCTTTTTTTTTTTTTGTCTCTGTATCTGTCTTCTTCTAACTTATTCTTATGTTTTATTCCAAATTGAGGAAGTGAAGAGCACAGAAATTTCTTCTGATTTGAACTTTAACAAGACAAGGCAGCTGCCAAATAGATTGTACACATCTGATATTGTGTTTAGGTGATGTTACTTTCTAGTAATATAAGGTATGTACCCAAGTTATTCACCAAGAAGAGCCTGAGAGCAGTGAAAGTATACTTAGAGACTAAGATGTCTTTCTTCCTGAATTTCTTTGTCCATGAATGTATATATATATTATATCCCTCGTATATATATGAGACAGGGAAGCGGGGGAAAAAGTGTTGCCCATCATTGAGTAAAGGGGTTATTTGTTTGTTTTACATATGTTTCTGTTCTTTGCTACTCTACTTCTTATTTTTATTTTTTTTTTTCCCCTCTGCCACCTCAAGCTAAAAACTTGTTTGTTTTTTCTCTCTCAGCTGCCACTTTTCCTTCCTTAGAAACTGTTATTATGTCAGTGTCTTCTGTTCTGAATTTTTCATTTGCTCTTTTTGTAATCTGACTCTTGGAAGTTACACCATTGCTAGGCATGTAAAGAGATTCCATTTATGGTCTAAAATTAGCTTTCTAGTCTAAACTTGTCATCTAGGCAACCTCTGCAATCAGTAGAGAAAGATAAATACTGCAAGAAGCAATTCATCACATTTTAAGATTATGTTGAAACTGGAGGGATTAATTGCTAGTCTACATTGCCTTTTTCTTTCAGCTGATTAAAGAGAGAGCTCTAGATGACAACCTGGGTGAAATGCCTGATGGCCAGACAGCTAAAATTAGATGAAAAGTATCCTCCTACCTGTTGTGCAACGAGTGATGTTGGTAATGCATTGCCTTTGTAATGTCTGCTGTAGAGTGGTTAGAACTACATAAAACTGAATTGCGATGACACCCAGAATTTGTTATTTTTGTCTGAACTGATTTGCAACAATGCCAGTTACATCTGATTTTTGACTAGTGTGTTCTGCAGTTTGTGATAGATCCTAAAAATCAACCCCCTACTATTTTGTTAGAAGAGTCAATATTTAAATAGCTCTCATGATTTTACCACCACATTACTAAATAAAATTATTTTGAATTTGGACACTTTGAAATAGAAGCGTTAGAATGTTTTTGATGAAACCACATGTAACACTATGTAATAACAGAATTGGATACAAGCCTGATTACCTGAGTCCCATTTTAAAATTACAGGGATCTAACTTTACCGATAGATAGTGTCTCTAGATATTACTGAAATAGAAGCATAATCACAGAATCACAGAATGCCCAGGGTTGGAAGGGACCTCAAGGATCATGAATCTCCAACCCCTCTGCCACATGCAGGGCCACCAACCTCCCCAGTTAATACTAGACCAGGCTGCCCAAGGGCCATCCAACCTGGCCTTGAACATCTCCAGGGATGGAGCATCCACAACCTCTCTGGGCAGCCTGTTCCAGTATCTCACCCACTCTCTCTGTAAAGAATTTCCCCCTGACATCCGACCTAAATCTTCCCTCCCTCAACTTAAGACCATTTCCCCTTGTCCTGCTGTTATCTACCCTTGAAAGAGTTGATTCCCCTCCTGTTTGTAGGCTCCCTTTAGGTACTGAAAGGCTGCAATGAAGTTGCCCCACAGCCTTCTTTTCTCCAGGCTGAAGAAGCCCAGCTCCCTCAGCTTGTCTTCATAGGGGAGGTGCTCCAGTTCCCTGATCATCTTTGTGGCCCCCCTCTGGACCCTCTCCAACAACTCCCTGTCTTTTTTTTGTACTGGGGGCTCCACACTTGGACACAATATTCCAGATGGGCCTCACAAGAGCAGAGTAGTGGGGGACAATCACCTCCCTGTCCCTGCTGGCCACCCCTCTTCTGATGGAACCCAGGATACCATTTGCCTTCGAAGCCATAAGGGCACACTGCTGGCTCATGTTAAGATTTTTATCTATCACAGTACGTGTTTGGATGCAGTTTGATCAGTATGATAATATTTGATGATTAGTGCTGGATAAGGAATTGAAATTGTAAAAACACAATTTGGAGATGCATGTAAGACTAAATACGGATAAATATTATATGGACAAATTTTGTGACAGAGTTGTTATGACAAAATATTTATCAATTACAATTACTCCTGTATTAAAACTGGTATTTAGACTTCTTATGTTTGACTTTTTTTTAACAGTGCTGTAACCCACTGCTGAACCAACAAATTGGAAACAATTCATAGCATCAAAGACTTCAGACTGATGCAGCCTATCAAGTCTTCAAGCACTGTGAACTGAAACTACAAATCTTGGAGTTTGTCACCTGGGTCAAAAGGAATGCTTTTCTGATATTAACGAGCACTGTTACTGCCATTATGACGAGCCAGGAGAAGTGGCTTAACCTTAGTCCTGGAGAGTTCTCTCAGCTTCAGAAATACGCAGAATGTAAGTACTGCCTGAAATATATTTTTACATCATTTTTTCTTCCCAATTAATAGCTCAGAATTACATGCTTAGAGGACAAAATCCTAAACATGAGAAGTTAGATTTAAGTGGCAGTTTGTAAAGTCTGATAGGAGTTGATCTAAAAATGTCCAAGAGTATTTCAGAATTTTTTTTGTATCATAAATAATATTTTTGTAAACAAAGAAAATATCTTTAGATTTAGAAATATTGTTGATTTATTACTAAAGGAAATGTTTCTATACAAAGTATAAAGCCTGTAAGTGAAATTAAGATTTTTTTTTTTTTTTTTTTTTTTTTTTTTTTTTTTTTTGTGACAACATGACACTTACTTAACTGTATCAGTGTAGTAATCCAACAGAATAACCATAAAATCATTGCTTTTCTGGAAGAGCTATCAATATCAGGATTAAGTGATTGATAAAATTGGATGAATTGTTTGTGTTCAGATTTGTGTTTACATATGAAATAAAGATGTGGTGGCTTTTAACTGTACTGTTTCAACCTTCCTTTGGCTGTCTGGAATAGGAAGGTGCTAATTGTATGAAACTGTGATTTCTCTTTGCATAAATAGTTAAATGTCTGAGACAACTAGGGTAAAAATGCTAGTTTTGTATTGTGGTTGATATATAATTCCAAGAGAATACAATGAGATATGGGCCAAGTTTTGTATTTGTGATCTGTCTGATTTAATTGTCTTAAATACCTGAATAACAGTGTCTTTAAATATATAATTAAGGCTTACAAATGAATTACAAAATAAGTTGGGTTTAGCAATTTTGAGATGGTTACATTTTTATCTAATGTTTAGAGCTATGAAACATTGTGACAATAGATACTTATTACTGTATAGAAATTAAACTGTATGTGACTTTAGTGAGTGAGTGATTTTGTGACTTATTGTTTATTAAAAGTTTTAAAAGAAATAGGAAGACTAGACGAGGCTTCTGGTTTTTGAAATAAAATATCCTGTAATACCAAAAAAAGTCTTGGAGTCGCTTGCAAAAAGGAGAGATTATCTGAACACCAGAAGGTATTGTGGGAAGGTTAGACTTCTGGGAGATGTATTGAGATTGAAAAGTCTTGGTTATGAGCCCTCTGACTTGCCTTGCTTTGTTCTTAGGAGTGGGTTTCTTTGAAAGACTGTGAAATACAGTAGGGAAGGTTCATCAAGGATTCACTTTTTTTTTTTCTTTTACTTGTTGATATTTGATATTATCATTTGATTGTCATTTGCTCAGCCTTCAATTTAGTTTGGTGTATGTGCCTTACTTTATAAACCTTAGCTTGAATTACATGATATTAACTTTGGAAGTTTTAGGCACATACACTTTCTTAAATTTACAAAATATAGTCTGTCAAATGCCTGTCACCTGGAATGTCAGTCACATTTGGGTCATATTGTTAGTGGCAGTCAATCATATCTACTTAATGAGGTCACTAGAACCAGTGTTACATTTTACAACTAACTGGAATATGAATAGAATTATTCTCTTACGTTTACTATAAATACATCTATTGGATTTTTTTAAATCTCTGAGCTCAGTGTATGCATGTATTTGATAATAAGACACATCATAAGACTGAAATAAATTAGAGTTTTTCTGATATCTATATTAGTGTATTTTGGTGTGCAAAGAAAAAGTAATAACTCTGAATGATAAGGACTAAATTAAAAGAAAACATGAAGAGATGCTTAAGCAAACTATTGGAGAGGAGCATGTTAGACGAGACTGCATCAAAACAGGGGTAGCCAGCAGGGTGAGGGAGGTAATTGTAATCCTCTGCTCAGCTTTCCTGAGGGCCCATCTGCAGTACTGCATTTAGATCTGGGGACCTCAACACAAGAGGGATGTTGAAGCAGGTCCAGGGAATGGCCACAAGGATAATCAAAGGACTGGAGCATCTCTCCTGTGAAGGTGGAGGGAGCTGGGCTTGTTCAGCCTGGAGGAGCGAAGGTTCCAGGGTCACCTCGTTGCAGCCTTCCAATACTTAAAAAGAGTTTATAGGTAAGATGGAGATGACTTTTTAAGTGATCTAATAGTATAGAATAAGGGGAATGGCTTTAAACTGAAAGAGGGAAGATTTAGATTAGATATTAGGACATTATTTACTTGAAGATTGGTGAGGCACTATCACAGGATGCCCAGAGAAGTTCTGGATATCCCATCCCTGAAGTGTTTAAGGCCAAGTTGTATGGGGCCCTTGCCAAGCAACTAGATGGTTGTTAAGGTTCATTCCAATCCAAACCATTCCATTTGATGGTTAGCCAGAGTTCAGAATTCAGAGTTTACAGTTAATACCTCTGTACTATGTTGCTGTGATTGAATACTAAATATTGGTACTAGGTGGGTGATTAACAGCATCTGCTATAAATGATTCAAGACAATTACTTTAAATAGATGAGTCCAAAGAGAGTGCATGCTCCAGTGCCTTATACTTATCAGTAGGAGACTTCAAGCACAGAATATATTTTGTTACTATTTATTTGGAACATATGCAAGTTTGGTTCAAAATATTTGCTTGCTTATTTCCAGGGAGGAGTCAATATTCTGCATAGTAGGTGCCTGTCCATGAAAAAAGAGTTCTTCCTAAAATGAGTTTGCTTGTGTTCTGCATGATAGCAGTATTGGTATAATTATTAGTACAGTTATTAGCGTATTAGTTAGCTATTAGTGTAGTTTGTCTTCCAGTTCTTTTTGCATGAACTTCACGATAGGCCTTCTACCTCTGTATGCAGATAATCTCCTTGATGTCTCATGAAAAAGTTCCTGCCACATCTTATTACATGCAGTACGATTATCAGCTTTATATAACTTTATTGCCTGGTGAACACAAACCCTGAATTTAAAATATCTTTCCTGATACATACCAGCTTTTTTCAGTATCCATAAATGTAAATGAACAGCAAAGGAGAGTATGGATTCTTCACCACTTGGCTCTGGTGAGAGAACATTCTATACTTTCTCTCTAAACAACACTTGGAACTTGGCAGTGTGTAAACATCTTCCAGTTAGTCAACATCTTCACAACAAACTAATTCACTGTAGTTATGATTGAGTGGAATAATGTCCTATTAAAGGATGATATTTGCACAGTCCAAGGAATATCTGTCTATAATTTCATTTTACAGAAGTATTTTTCAGCTCAAGCTGAGTCAACTTTATATTCACAGTGTAAGACCTTTCTTCAAATAAGAATTGGGGAATTCAAGAGAGTTTTTGGAATGGCTTAAATATTACTTTAAAATGTAGAAAAATGTCTTTGTAGAATTCAAAGAGCATACTAATTAATACTTGGCACTTTGCAATTAGTTTGCATGTGTGTGGGTTGTTAGTGTTGTTTTTTTTTGTGGATATTTTTTTAAGAATAATTATTTCCAGTGACAGTTACTCCTCTCTACTCCTGTTCTGAAGAACAGTAGGCCTTTGTTTAGTCTTAAAATACCTCAGAAGAGAAAATGAGAACTGAGATAACTGGGATGCTCATTCAGTAATAATAATGTTGCCTATTCCAAATACATATACTAATGCAAATACATGTACTAAGAAGATAATTATTTTTTCCTTTAGATTTCATGATCAGTTTTACTTATGGGAAAGAAGGTGAAAAGATGTGGGGTATTTTTGCATAAAAATCTCACTTAAGTTATATAGGATGAGGTAGACATGGGATTAGATGTTTAATGTAAAGATTTATGAGGCAGGGGTTATTTCTTCTGAAATATACAGTACCAGATATATATGCAGTTCTGTACTGCTCCTACTAGCAGCTTAAATTGTAAGGACATTATAAAAAAGTCATATAAGTAGTATCACTGTAATTATTAGCTATAGGGTAAATTCCGTCAATTTAGGCTTTTTTTTGTTTGTTTTGTTATTGTATCATCAGTCAAAAGAACTTCAGTAATTTCATGTTTGTTGTAGTCCAAATTATAGTGATTAAAAATAGTTAAAGTGAGACTGTTTCATGATTTAGCTGGGCTTTAGAAGAAAGAAGTCCTTCCTTTAATAGGCACGGAGAGGCAAAGGAAAAAGCCTCTGAGCTCTGGCAGCACGTATACTCCGGGGAAATAGCTTTGTTTTTTTGTAGTCCTTTTGAATTTGTCAACAAAATGTGCCCTGAGGACCAAGGCTGGAAAAGTCTTTTTGCAAAATTTTTGGCAGTGTTTTTTTTTTTTTGTTTTTTTTTTTTTTCCCAGGCTGGTGGAGAAGAACTTGGGCAAACTATCACAGCCTGAGTGCTACTGAAATGGCTATGAGAACAGGAACAACATCAGCAGCTTCTCCTTTTTGATTACCATCAATTGCTACTGTAGGAACTAAACTGTGCAAGAATGTTGTAGGGCAACAGGAGGAAGAACTTGTGAAAAAAGATTTCTGAAGAGAAAGACAAAAGCTAACAGAAGTTTTGGTCCAGAGTTAAACTGCCAGAGACTCTTGGGTGGGTTTAATTCTGTGGTCCTCACAGATGGAAAATATTTTCTTTTACAATGGTTATAAATGATAACCTGCAGGGAACTTCATACATGTGGCAGATGGCCACCAGCAGCACTGAAAGCTCTGGGCTATTACCCAGTCCCTCAGATGATCCCATGCTTCTGGCACTGCATTAGCTTCTGCTAATCATAATGGGGGACTAGACCACATCAAACAATACAGATTGCTGAAAGCAAGTATTTTTTATTGTTTTTAAAGGGAAGAAAAAAAATTGCTAGTGATTACTGAGAATATTTTTACCCCATATACTAGGTTTTAGGAGTATGAACTTTCCGCTGCTGTTAGTAAAAATGAAGGAAATAAGCTTCTTTTTAAGTTTTCTCAGAGAGTGTAAGACTTTAGTGGTCCCAGATTGCAGAGAGAAAATATTGTAGAAGAGACTGTTTACAAACCCAGAATTTGAGCATTTAGAATCTCTGTCCGTGCTTAGTGTATGATGAATAAGGTGCTGTTCCTTCATCAGGTGCACCTGGTTGCCTCACT